AGGATCTTAGTGAATATTTTTGATAAGCCCGTCAGAAGAGGAAGTGCTGCTCTCAGCTTCCTGGTGGGGATCAGATTGTCACCTGCTGAGATCGACTCAAAACCTTTCCGATCGATCGATCGATGTACTGGGCACCTCTGATCTATAGCAACCAGAACAGGGCTAACCAGAAGAAGGTGGTCCATTAAAAGTATCGTAGTGTCTGAACCGGTCTCACTCCATAATCTGGTACTACCATGTACTGTGACTGTAGGGGGCGCTGTTGAAGTTTACAGCATAATGTACCACGCTAAAGGAAAATAAAGAAAAAACCACAGTAGCAAACATCTTACCACGATGATCACATGATTTTTGGTTTTCGCCTTTATTCTTTCTTTAGCATTAGACCGAGGAATGGTAAAGTGTGGTGTAAAACTGCAACAGCGCCCCCTACAGGCCCTGTAAATGGTGGTGAATTTGGTCTAACAGCAAAACTGGTCCATAGGAAAGCATAGCCTGGATGGGCCGGTTCTGGTTCTGACCCGTTTCTGATCATCAGGAGGAATAAACTGACCTGATTTGCATTCTGGGCAGACAAACTTTCCTTTCGGCGCCTTGGCCAGCGAGATGCAGGCCAGGTGAAACGCGCCGCAGCACTGACCCTCACATAGCAGCAGCTCCCCCGTCTTCTCACACACCTGAGGAGCAAAACCAGGTGAAGATCAGAGCAAAGGAAATGAACCAGGACTCATCAGGACTAATGAGTTAATCCTGATGAATCGCTCCAGCCTGGTCTTCCGTCTCCTCCTCTGATTTTACGGTCAGTGTCTCACCTGGCAGACGTTCTCCTTCATGGAGGCGGGCCCTCCCCGGTCGCCGATGATCTTCCTGACAGGTAGAGGCGTGTCGTCGCCCAGCAGGTCGTCCTTCATGGGGGGGAACCGGTTCTCCAGCAGAAACCTGTCATCCTGCAGAAACACGTTGGGTTTTCATCTGAACCAGAGGAGCGATCGTTTCCTAAAGTTCCTGTCGGCTGACCTCTGACTCCAGCGCCTCCTCCTGGAAGCTGCCGTCATCAGATTGGAAAGCGTCTGCTGGGGGCGGCTCCACCTGCTCAGGTGGGCTGGGGGTTGCCGGGGGGTCAGAGGTTACAGGGGGGAGGGGCGTGCAGGGCGGCGGCTCAGAGAGCGGTTTCACTTTTAAAGATGGCGGAGAAAAATCTGTGTAGAAAATGATCAATTAAGAGATTCAATCTTTTGAAGTCAAAATGGTTTCAGTTCAAGTCACTTTATAAAAATATTTTATAAAAATATAATTAATCAACTTTAAAGCTGCAGTGTTTTCATAGTTGAATCTGCCTCCATGTTGTGGTAAAAGTTTCATCTCTGCTTTCTCCCAGTGAAACAACCAATCAGAGCCAGGAGGCGGAGCTTAGTGCTGTCAATCATGTCTGTGTGTGCGCTGCTCTACCCTTACAGCTGAAACTTTCAACAATATTTGTTGTTGAATTGGTGCTACAGAAATAAACTGAATTAAATTGTTTCTAGTTAGAGGAACTAAATCTTTTCACAGATTATCTCTCATACCAAACTCATGACATAGAGACATTTTATATACATTTTTATAAAACTAATTTAGCTTTAATGGCCTCCTTCCGTAGTCTCCTTCATGCGCCGCTGTTTTTCCTCTGAATGTCAGGGAAGCTCCTTCACCGACTTCTTTAAATTATTCTTAAAATCTCATCTGGATTTGAACAGCGCCAGTCTTTGTGTTGTCGAATATTATATTTATTATATTAATTAGTTTAAACCAGGGGTGGAAATTAAAATTTTCATGGGCCACTCAGACATTTCACCAGCCACAGTTTTTGTCTTTCTATCAGAGACTCAACTAGTACAAGCAAACGACATAAAATACATGATTTATTCTTAACCCTTACTGACAATAAGTTTACCGTACATATGTGCGTATATAAACTATAAACTCCTGTATTTTACCCCTGTATTCTACCCCTGTATTTTACCCCTGTATTCTACCCCTGTATTCTACCCCTTTTTTCTACCCCTGTATTCTACCCCTTTTTTCTACCCCTGTATTCTACCCCTTTTTTCTACCCCTGTATTCTAC